AAAAAAAAAAGGAAAAAAAGAAAAAAAAAAAATCCCCCCCCCCAAAATTTTTTGAACCCCCTTATGATTCATCACCCCCAAACTCAATCCCAGCCTTCCCTTTGTGGTATGGTACCTTGCAGTACAATTTCAGAGAGATCCATACACTTGAACACAAGTCATTGTCTGGAAACTAGAAAAATGCTTATTTTTGGCCCCTTTTTGGCCCCAAATTCCTAAACGTTTCAGGCAATTACCCCCAAACTCAATTCTAGCTTTCCCTTTGTGATATGGAACCTTGTAGTACAATTTCAGAAATATCCAAACACTTACACACAAGTTATTGTCATGAAACTAGAATAAAATGCTTCGCTGGGGCGCAGCTTGATACGACCGCAGAGGTCGAACCCTGAACAGTTGGGGCAAGTATGGACACAACATTCAAGCTTGATACAGCTCTGAATTTGGATTGTTATTAAATATTTGTCACAGCATAGGTTTCTGACACAATTTTTGATGAAATCAAACAAAGTTTAATTTTGGACCCTTTTGACCTCAATATGAACCAATTTGATAGCGGGGCCCACAAATAAAAAATCTAAATACATGGTTAGATTCAGCATATCAAAGAACCCCATATATTCAATTTTTGTTGAAATCAAAAAAAGTTTAATTTTGGACACCAACTTCGACCAACTTGAAAACTGGGCCCATAATCAAAAATCTAAACACATGTTTAGATTCAGCATATCAAAGAACCCCAAGAATTTTTGTTAAAATCAAACTAAGTTTAATTTTGGACCCTTTGGACCTCAATGAAGACCAATTTAAAAAACGGGACCAAAATTAAAAATCTAAAAACACGGTTAGATTTGGCATATCAAAGAACCCCAATAATTCAATTTTCGATGAAATCAAACAAAGTTTAATTTTGGACCCTTTTGACCTCAATATGAACCAATTTGATAGCTGGGCCTACAAATAAAAAATCTAAATACATGGTTAGATTCAGCATATCAAAGAACCTCATATATTCAATTTTTGTTGAAATCAAACAAAGTTAAATTTTGGACCCCAATTTGGACCAACTTGAAAACTGGGCCCATAATCAAAAAACTAACTACATGTTTAGATTCAGCATATCAAAGAACCCCATATATTCAATTTTTGTTGAAATCAAACAAAGTTTAAATACTGGACCCTATCTTGGACCAACTTGAAAACTGGGCCCATAATCAAAAATCTAAACACATGTTTAGATTCAGCAAATCAAAGAACCCCAAGAATTCAATTTTTGTCAAAATCAAACTAAGTTTAATTTTGGACCCTTTGGACCTCAATGTAGACCTTTAAAAAACAGGACCCAAAATTAAAAACCTAAATACACGGTTAGATTTGGAATATCAAAGAACCCCAATAATTCAATTTTAGATGAAATCAAACAAAGTTTAATTTTGGACCCTTTTGACCTCAATATGAACCAATTAGATAACGGGGTCCACAAATAAAAAATCTAAATACATGGTTAGATTCAGCATATCAAAGAACCCCATATATTCAATTTTTGTTGAAATCAAACAAAGTTTAATTTTGGACCCCAATTTGGACCAACTTGAAAACTGGACCAAAAATCTAAATACATGTTTAGATTCAGCATATCAAAGAACCTCATATATTCAATTTTTGCTAAAATCAAACAAAGTTTAATTTTGGAACCTTTGGACATTAATGTAGACCAATTTGAAAACTGGACCCAAAATTAAAAATCTAAATACACTGTTAGATTCGGCATAACAAATAAATAAATGTGATCAAAGATTTTACATATCTAATGCGCCATACTGTGCAATTAAAGATTGCTTCTTGAAATTTTTCAATATTTGAAATTTGAAAAAAAAATAATATTTGAAGAATAATTCTTTTTAATTTCTGAAATCTGAAATGAGAAAAAATTGGCCCCCCACAATTTCTTTTTATTCCCCCCCCCCCCTTTTTCCCCCCAAAAAATTCTTTCCCTCAAGATATGGTCATAATCTCAATTCAAATTTCCAATGGAGTTGGCAACCATAATTACCCATTTAAATTTACCATAGTGCTAACTTAATCTATTTTATAATAGAATTAATAAAAATATAGTGTCAAATCTTTCATATGGATTTTTTTGTAAAAAAAAAAGATGCAACATTTGCAGATATTTTTACTGGTCTTCCTTTATAAATATGCATTTCTTTAAACATAATTTAAAAGCAGTGTAAGGGAAGTAACCAAAACGTTGTATTTGGATTACCTCCCTTACACTGTTTTAGATTATCTTTATTGTTCATTAACCATTACTTTATACATAATTTAAAAGCAGTGTAAGGGAGATAATTTCAATGATGTATTTGATTTATCTCCCTTACACTGCTTTAAATTATGTTTGTACTAAAGTATTTGTCCATTAACCAGGACAACCTTGTTTTTCCCCCTTTTTTGCCCCTAATTCCTAAACGGTTTGAGCCATAACCCCCCAAAGCAAATCCTAACCATCCCTTTGTGGTATGGAAACTTGTAGTATAATTTCAGAGAGATCCATACACCGTTCCACAGTTATTGTCTGGAAACTAGAAAATACTCATTTTTGGCCCCTAATTCCTTAACTGTTGGTACCATAACCCCCAAAATCAATCCCAACCTTCCTTTTGTGGTATTTAACCTTATGGTCAAATTTCAAAAAGATCCATTCACTTAAACTAAAGTTAGAGTGCGAAAACCAATATGTATTCGGACGACGACGCCGGACGACGACGACGCCAACGTCATACCAATATACGACCACAAAATTTTTTTGCGGTCGTATAAAAATGCTTGTTTTTTGCCCCTTTTTTGGCCCCTAATTCCTAAAATTTTGAGGCAATTACCCCCAAAATCAATTACAGCCTTCCCTTTGTGATATGGAACCTTGTGGTACAATGTCAGAGAGATCCATACACTTACACACAAGTTATTGTCTGGAAGTTACAAAAATGCTTATTTTTGGCCCCTAATTCCTTAACTGTTGGTACCATAACCCCCAAAATCAATCCCAACCTTCCTTTCGTGGTATTGAACCTTATGGTAAAATTTCATGGAGATCCATTCACTTAAACTAAAGTTAGAGTGCGAAAACCAATGTGTCTTCGGACGACGCCAGACGACGACGACGACGACGACGACGACGACGACGCCAATGTCATACCAATATACGACCAAAAAATTTTCAATTTTTGCGGTCGTATAAAAATGGAAAAATTTTAAAAGAAAAAAAAAAGGAAAAAAAGAAAAAAAAGGAAAAAAAAATAAATCCCCCCCCCCTAATTTTTTGAACCCCCTTATGATTATTCACCACCAAACTCAATCCCAGCCTTCCCTTTGTGGTATGGTACCTTGCAGTACAATTTCAGAGAGATCCATACACTTGAGCATAAGTTATTGTCTGGAAACTAGAAAAATGCTTATTTTTGGCCCCTTTTTTGCCCCTTATTCCTAAACGTTTTGGGCAATTACCCCCAAACTCAATTCCAGCTTTCCCTTTGTGATATGGAACCTTGTAGTACAATTTCAGAAAGATCCATACACTTACACACAAGTTATTATCTTGAAACTAGAAAAATGCTTGTTTTTTGCCCCTTTTTGGGCCCCTAATTCCTAATATTTTGAGGCAATTACCCCCAAAATCAATCCCAGCATTCCCTGTGTGGTATGGAACCTTGTGGTACAATTTCAGAGAGATCCATACACTTGAACACAAGTTATTGTCTGGAAACTAGAAAAATGCTTATTTTTGGCCCCTTTTTGGCCCCTTATTCCTAAACGTTTTGGGCAATTACCCCTAAACTCAATTCCAGCTTTTCCTTTGTGATATGGAACCTTGTAGTACAATTTCAGAAAGATCCATAAACTTACACACAAGTTATTGTCATGAAACTAAAAAAATGCTTGTTTTTTGCCCCTTTGTTGGCCCCTAATTCCTAAAATTTTGAGGCAATTACCCCCAAAATTAATCCAAGCATTCCCTGTGTGATATGGAACCTTGTGGTACAATGTCAGAGAGATCCATACACTAACACACAAGTTATGTCTGGAAGTTACAAAAATGCTTATTTTTGGCCCCTTTTTGGCCCCTAATTCCTTAACTGTTGGTACCCCAACCCCAAAAATCAATCCCAACCTTCCTTTTGTGGTATTGAACCTATGGTAAAATTTCATAGAGATCCATTCACTTAAACTAAAGTTAGAGTGCGAAAACCAATGTGTCTTCGGACGACGACGCCAACGTCATACCAATATATGACCGCAAAATTTTTTTGCGGTCGTATAAAAATGCTTATTTTTGGCCCCTTTTTGGCCCCTAATTCCTTAAATGTTGGTACCATAACCCTCAAAATCAATCCCAAACTTCCTTTTGTGGTATTGAACCTTATGGTGAAATTTCATAGAGACCCATTCACTTAAACTAAAGTTAGAGTGCGAAAACCAATGTGTCTTTGGACGACGATGACGCCAACGTCATACCAATATGCGACTGCAAAATTTTTTGTGGTCGTATAAAAATAATATAATTCTGAATTATTAGTTTTGCATTTAGTAAAGTAATTTTAATGTTCTGTGGTATACTTTAGTAGTTTTATTGTATTTTGTGTAGTTCTGTGGTATATTTTGGGTGTGTCGTGGTATTCTGTGGTGTTCTGTGGTAAACAGACGCTCCGCTTTAACAAGGTATATGTTTACATGTATTATAATACAAAAATACTCTCATCATATTTTTTATCCATATGGTGACCAATGGATTTATTCTGGATACTTACACATTGTGTTAAGAATTGATGGCGTAAAGCAATAGTAGAGGCAATGCCTTAAAGTGCTGAAACAACCTGTTTCCTACTTGACAAAATTTACAGATTTATTCAGAAAGTCACAAAAGATGACACAAGAATATTAGGAAAGTCAGAACTAATGTTTTCAGAATGGATCATTATTCGTATTCAAAATAAAGCAGTTACCTGTAAGCATCATCTGATGTCATTTTCAAGTGTTTCATGATATATGCAATTGCTAATGTAGGTGAGCGAGATATCCCTGCTAAACAGTGAATCAAAACACAACCATTGGCCTCTCTAATCTTATCTGAAATAAGAATATGAATCATTTACTGGATTTGATAGATACCTTAAATGTTTTGTTATTGTTTACTGGAGAACTACAAACTAATGTATTATAAATAACTTTCTCTTATGGTTGTGGCCTGTAATCTATCTCTTGCATGAAGAGATATTTCTCGTATCACACTCTGTGATACGAAAACTCCATTAATTTGATGGCTTATCCAGAATCATGAGACTATATTACGACATTTCAATTGGCCATTTGTTCGGTCATTCAAAGCTTTAGAAGATGTACATTTCGTCCATGGCAACGGACAAATAAATCACTCACACTTTTCACCTGAAAATCTTCTTTTTGTCAAATTGTATTACATTCTGAAGCATACAAAAAGTTTTAAAATGTCTGATGTTAAAGTTTGAAGCCAGAATAGGATTTATGACGTCATACTAGTTTGTGTGAAAGACTAGATCAATGATTCGGGAAATTTTTTTTTAACACAATGAGAGTGTTGACAATAAGAGAAATAGGTTTAACAACTTTTAAGAATTGGATTTCACTTGAAAACAACTCTTGTTATTTAATTTAAATAGTAATAATAGACTCGCCAAAAGCTCGTTTATAATTATATTGAAGTAAAAGAACAGAGTTCCAATGTCCCCCGCATTGCACATATTTTATCTGTTTTGTCCAAGGGCAATAACTAAAAATAAAATATTTTTATTTTTAAATCTTTTTAAAATTATCTTGCTATAGAGTTGAAGACCTGAGTGCAATTTCCGATATATTTAATATTTCCAAGGGAAACACATTAAAAATATTTGATCGGCACTTATCTTTAAAATTGTCTGAGACATTGCTGTTATATACCTTTGATATGAATTTGATAAAAATCTGGCACAAATTGTACATGTGAGAGTACTTACAATGCAAATTTCCATATAATTTAAATTTCTAAGGGGCATAACTTTTAAAAAATAGTTGATAGATACTGATTTTCGAACTCGTCCGAGACATTGCTGATATAAACCTACAATATAAGTTTCATAAAAATTTGGCAAGAATTGTACACATGAGAGTGCTAATGATGCAATTTTCAATATAATTAAAAAATTATTGTTTCCAAGTGCATAACTCTGGACACCTGGTATTTCTATATCCCCTGCAAGGTGTCACACGGGGGACAATTAAATAACTTCAGTTGATATCTAATTCTCACTCATTATGAAACTTGTAATTACCTGTTCCAGGATGATTCCTTGTGCTTAAATGGGTCCTTTAGACAAATTTTAGATTAAATTATGGAAAGTTATTGAACTAACACAGCAAGGCTTTTTCTTTTTCTAAAATACTTTAGTCATAGTCTGTAGATGAGTTCGAAAATCATTGTTGATCAATTATTTTAAAAGAGTTATGTACTTTGGAAACATTAAATATATGGAAAATTGCATTGTTAAGGCTCTCATGTGTACAATGCTTGCCAGAATTTTATGAAACTTAAATCATAGGTTATATTAGCAATGTCTTTGGCAAGTTTGAAAATCAGTGACGATCAATAATTTCGGAAGAGTTATGTCCCTTGGTATATTAATTATATGGAAAATAGCCATATGAGCGCTCTAATGTGTACAATTCTTGCCAGATTTTTATGAAATTTATATTATTGGTTTATATCATCAATGTGTTTGACGAGTTCAAAAATCAGTGCTGATCAATTGTTTTAAAAAGAGTTAGGCCCCTAAGGAGTTGTCTGACAATTTTTGCCAAAATAGACAGTAGGTAGATTTTTGCATTCTGAATATTTTAGCATCCATCAGATTCTCTTTATCATCAATCAGATTCTATTTATCTAGAATGGATTTCAAGGTAAGACAAATATTGCACTCTTCCTCTATGTTCTATTTAAGCCATGTTTGTTTGCAGACAGGACATGTATACTTGTCTGTATGACCAGCTCTTAATTTGCATGTCTAGATAAGTTTAAATAAATTAAAAAGGGGCAACCAAATATCTAACAAAACACTCCAACTTCTTAACAGAGAGTAATGAGTAACTCAGTAATCACTGATGAGACAGACACATTCACATGTTATACATAAAAGGGTTATACAATTTACCTACTCAACTCTAATATCAAAATCAGTGGAAGAACAACAGATACAAATAACATTAATAATGTTTATTTTCATGTAATATCCTTCCAAAATTGTTTTACTTTAAAATAAATATTACCTATAAACTGGAATGCTTCTTCAAAAAATGGCAACATTTTTGCACTGTAATTGTCATTTACTGGAATGCGAAAGAAGTGTCCTTCCTGAATAAAAGGTGGCTGCGGACATGTGGTACTCACATTTAAAATATATGATATGTCATTAACCTGAAACATAAATTGCTTTACTTTAAATCCATAACTTGTATCTAATAATTTATAAGTAAGTAGAACAAGTAATGATTGTAATGGTCCTAAACAAAGTCCTACTTAGACCACAATAATACCATTATTTATTTATCAAACATATATACAATGGATGCAATTGTACCAAACAGATCAAGTGGCATGTTCCCATTAATAATTGCTGAAAGATGAAAACAGATGTATACTTACTTTTTTGGAGCCCTATGATACAGAAAAACCTCTTTTAGATAAAAAGAATAAATATGGAAAAATTAAACATAAGCGAGGGATTCACCAACCAACTTGTCTTGTAATCAGGATGAAAATATAGGGATGATCCTCAGAGATTCAGCTTCAAAATCATTCATTATGTCTTTCTTATTTTTTAATATTTCAAAAAACATGTTTGCTAGGTACTTTTCCAAATCATTATTGTTCTGAGAGACTTCCAGGAAAGGAGTTGGTTCAATAACTCATAATTTTGGCCCTTAAAATATAAAATTTTAAAATGCGATAATGTTATGAAATTTGATGAAATCATATGTTAAAATGTTCATTTGTTTATTTAAAAAAAAAAGATTTTCACCAATTGCGTCATGAATGATGAATTTCATTAAAACTATATTTTTTTGCATATTTTGGCAAAATTTCTGGCACTTTTCTGAAAAATTAACAGTGGTGCCACCCCTTGCCAAAAAATTTGGCAAGAATTGTACACATGAGAGTGCTAACGATGCAATTTTCAATATAATTAAATAGTTAATGTTTCCAAGGGGCATAACTCTGGACACCTGGTATTTCTATGTCCCCTGCAAGGTGTCACACGGGGGACAATTGAATAACTGCAGTTGATATCAAGCCATATCCAATTTTCACTCATGGATATGAAAAAAAAAAAATTTTGCTGAAATATAATCTTAATATATCACATTCTTTCCTTCAACCAAAATTTCAAAGGGCGTAGGATGGGCCACGTACAAAAAAAAAAAAAAAGGTTGAAAAAGGCAACACATTTCTAGAATAAAATGCTCCGCAGGGCGCAGCTTGATACGACCGCAGAGGTCCAACCCTGAACAGTTGGGGCAAGTATGGACACAACATTCAAGCTTGATACAGCTTTGCATTTGGATTGTGATTAAATATTTGACACAGCATAGGTTTCTGACACAGAATGAATGTGGTCTAAGAACTTAAAAATTTTATTTAAATTGGACATTCACCTATTATGGTCCAATATCCAAAATCTAAATACATGGTTAGATTCAGCATATCAAAGAACCCCAAAAATTCAATTTTTGATGAAATCAAACGAAGTTTAATTTTGGACCCTTTTGACCTCAATGTGGACAAAGTTGATAACAGGGCCCAAAAATCAAAAATCTAAATACATGGTTAGATTCAGCATATCAAAGAACCCCATATATTCAATTTTTGTTGAAATCAAACAATGTTTAATTTTGGACCCCGATTTGGACCAACTTGAAAACTGGGCCCATAATCAAAAATCTAAACACATGTTTAGATTCAGCATATCAAAGAACCCCAAGAATTCAACTTTTGTTAAAATCAAACTATGTTTAATTTTGGACCCTTTGGACCTTAATGTAGACCAATTTAAACAAGAGTGCACACGCTGAAATGTCTCGCCTTCTTTACTAATCATTGATATTATGTTGATAGTCCTAAATATAAAGCTTTATTACAACTGTCACATAAACTTAACATTAACCAAGTAAACTAAACATTGACCAATGAACCATGAAAATGAGGTCAAGGTCAAATGAACCATGCTGGGCAGGCATGTATAGCTAACAATTCTTCCATACAACAAATATAGTTGACCTATTGCTTATAGTTTAAGAAAAACAGACCAAAACACAAAAACTTAACACTGAGCAATGAACCTTGAAAATGAGGTCAAGGTCAAACAAAACCTGCGTGACTGACAAATAGATCATAAAATATTTCCATGCACCAAATATAGTTGAACTATTGCATATAGTATAAGAAAAAAAGAACAAAACTCAAAAAACTTAACTTTGACCACTGAACCATGAAAATGAGGTCAAGGTCAGATGACACCTGCCCGCTAGACATGTACACCTTACAATCATTCCATACACCAAATATAGTAGACCTATGGCATACAGTATAAGAAAAACAGACTAAAACACAAAAACTTAACTATAACCACTGAACCATGAAAATGAGGTCAAGGTCAGATGACACCTGCCAGTTGGACATGTACACCTTACAGTCCTTCCATACACCGAATATACTAGCCCTATTGCTTATAGTATCTGAGATATGGACTTGACCACCAAAACTTAACCTTGTTCACTGATCCATGAAATGAGGTCGAGGTCAAGTGAAAACTGTCTGACGGGCATGAGGACCTTGCAAGGTACGCACATACCAAATATAGTTATCCTATTACTTATAATAAGAGAGAATCTAACATTACAAAAAATCTTAACTTTTTTTTCAAGTAGTCACTGAACCATGAAAATGAGGTCAAGGACATTGGACATGTGACTGACGGAAACTTCGTAACATGAGGCATCCATATACAAAGTATGAAGCACCCAGACCTTCCACCTTCTAAAATATAAAGCTTTTAAGAAGTTAGCTAACGCCGCCGCAGCCGGATGACTATCCCTATGTCGAGCTTTCTGCGACAAAAGTCGCAGGCTCGACAAAAACGGAACCAAAAATTAAGAATCTAAATACACGGTTAGATTCGGCATATCAAAGAACCCCAATAATTTAATTTTTGATGAAATCAAACAAAGTTTAATTTTGGACCCTTTGGACCTCAATGTGGACCAATTTAAAAACGGGGCCCAAATCCAAAAACTAAATACACGGTTAGATTCAGCATATTAAAGAACCCCAAGAATTCAAGAATAAAACCCCATTGAAATTGGTCAAGAAATAAGCAATTTATACGAAGTATCTTCTTTTGCACAATACTGTGCAATTAAATATTTCTTGCTATTGCACAATACTGTACAATTGACAATTTCTTGCTATTGCGCAATATTGTGCTATTGGATATTTCTTGCTATTGCGCAATACTGTGCAATTGAAAATTTCTTGCTATTGCGCAATACTGTGCAATTGAAGATTTCTCGCTATTGTGCAATACTGTGCAATTGAAAATTTCTTGCTATTGCACAATACTTATTATATAATAATTTACACATCCTGTTTGGTGTGTATCTCCTACCATATCATTATTATTTGCTTTTAAATATAAATCAGAAATAACCAACTTAAAATGGAAAATTTTAAAAGAAAAAAAAAAGGAAAAAAAAGAAAAAAAAGGAAAAAAAAAAAATCCACCCCCCCAAATTTTTTGAACCCCCTTATGATTCATCACCCCCAAACTCAATCCCAGCCTTCCCTTTGTGGTATGGTACCTTGCAGTACAATTTCAGAGAGATCCATACACTTGAACACAAGTTATTGTCTGGAAACTAGAAAAATGTGTTTTTTTGGCCCCTTTTTTGGCCCCAAATTCCTAAACAATTAGGGCAATTACCCCCAAACTCAAACCCAGCTTTCCCTTTGTGATATGGAACCTTGTAGTACAATTTCAGAAAGATCCATACACTTACACACAAGTTATTGTCATGAAACTAGAAAAATGCTTGTTTTTTGCCCCTTTTTTGGCCCCTAATTCCTTAAATTTTGAGGCAATTACCCCCAAAATCAATCCCAGCATTCCTTTTGTGATATGGAACCTTGTGGTACAATGTCAGAGAGATCCATACACTAACACACAAGTTATGTCTGGAAGAAACAAAAATACTTATTTTTGGCCCCTTTTTGGCCCCTTATTCCTTTACTGTTGGTACCATAACCCCCAAAATCAATCCCAACCTTCCTTTTGTGGTATTGAACCTTGTGGTAAAATTTCATAGAGATCCATTCACTTAAACTAATGTTAGAGTGCGAAAACCAATGTGTCTTCGGACGAAGACGACGACGCCAACGTCATACCAATATACGACCACAAAAATTTTTTTGCGGTCGTATAAAAATGGACAGGAAAGAAATCTATTCCTAATTCAGGCTAGCATATCTACAAATATGAAGCAGATGTACAATTATTCTTATCATACTTTCAAAAAGAGTACATTTAAGCAATACATTCACATAAGATTTACTAAAACAGTTAAACTTAAAAAAAATCACTTTTACAAGGTCATTTATTGGGGTTACTGGCTCTACTCCTTTACAAAAATTTCAATCACATTCTTTTGAAATTCAATTTTCCATGTCAAAGTATTGGTCATAAAATTTCAAAAAACATATGTTTGCTAGGTTCTTTTCCTCAATTATTATTATTCTGAGAAGCTCCAAAGAATTTTCCAATTTGGAATCACATGCTATGAAATCCAATTGTCCCATATCAAAGCTTGGGTCAACATGTTTTAAAAAGAAATAAAAGTAGCTAGTTTTGATTTCTTAAACAAGAGTGCTGAAATGTCTCACCTCAGCTTTACTGGTCTTCATTTAATTTACATTGAAAGTCTTAATGATTATTAATATTACTTTTACTGTTAAGTCTGTTTTTTTGTGATATCCATTTGACGTGACTCTGTACTTATGTATCCCGTCATACTTTGAATGACAAAATGATTTTATATCTACCTGTGTGACTTCAAATGCGCAATTCTACGCCAGTACTTAAAACCTTCCATCCTTTATGGGTGGATTTTACATAGATAAATAAAATCGTATAATAAAAAAGCAAAATGAGGATGTTAAATTTGATGTATGCCTTTTTGTGCTTCTTTGTTACATTTGTTTGTTTTTATAGTGATTAAGATGATAACACAATGTTGACTGCTGAACCCCTATTTTTGACATTTTTACCTATTGTGTCTGTTTGTTTTGTTCACGCATCATTGTCAATATAATGGAATTTGATGCGACTGTCATACAATTGAGAGGTTTAGCTAGCTATAAAACCA